AGATGGTGAGTTCTAGTCCCGCCTTAGGCATGAACATTATTGGGTGATTTTGGTCCAATTACCAGGAGACTGTGAATTCTAGTCCCTTAGGCATGAAAGTCATTGGGTGACTTTGGGGCCAATCACCAGGAAACGCTGAGTTCTAGTTCTGCCTTAGGCTTGAAAGCTGCTGGGTAACTTTGGGCCAGTCCCTCTCTCTCTCAGCCCAGCGATCTAGAGATGAAGCTGAGTTGTAGTTATGGGGAAAATAGAAGAAGGGAGTGTTATGGATGCTATCTTGAGTTTAATGCAGACACTGGAAAATATATGGGAGGGAATAGCTGCAAACAGGGCATAGTTAAAAGGACTCACAAGAGACCTTTTTGAAGAGTGGCCTCCATTAGAGGGAGGAAATCTATTTCAGAGAGCGAAAGGACAGCAATACACCAGCACCAGAGATGCAATAAACAGTATAATCTGTTTACTCTTCTTTTTCCAAAGAGCAAATATTGGCATTTGCAACACACAGGCTCTCCACATACTCCATCCACGTATACACAAATGTCAGTACCATACACAGAGCTAACTGTTTGTGCTTATGAATATTTTATTAAAGAGAAATTAAAATCCAGCCAAAAACAAAAAACAAAAAATGGGGGGTTATCGACTACCAATGAACCAGACAACCTCTTCCAGAAAATTGATTGTAATTGACGTCAAATGAGAGTAACTCACAATAATATACTGAATTAATAGAGCTGGGAGATGATTAGGAATTAGCTTTTAAAAGCTCTCATTTCAAAACCATCATGGGAGATTATATTTCCTTAATGTGTGCATGCACCCATAGAGGAAACAATAATAATAAAGGGAGGAGGGAGAATACAGGAGCCTTAAAAATGCAGATTAGGGAGGCAGATGTGGAAAGGTTCTTTTTTTCCTGAAAAAAGGAGGAAAAAAAGTGCAGGCAATAAACTTAGCTCTGTTTTTGCATATTATCCCTAAAGAGTGAGAACTGATCAACCTCTACATCACTGTGTTTCTCAACCTAAACAACGTTGTGATGAGTGGACTACAACTCCCAGAATTCTCCAGCCAGCATGATCCCAAGAATGCCTGCTGGCTAGGGAATTCTGGGAGTTGAAGTCCCCTCAGTGTAAAGTTGGCTGAAGTTGAGAAACACTGTTCTATGTACCCAGGAGGAAACAGCAGCAAATGTCAACTCTTGGGGGGGGAAAAAGGTATACCACATGTTTATGTCTGCGTTTGTGTGTGTCATTCAGATACTTTGACATTTCCAGGGAGTAAAAGCAATAAAATCACACAAGAAGCAAGACAAGCTTAGGGCCCATCAATAAATTCCACTCATGTTATATTCGAAAGATGGTTTCCCAAAAGACACGAGCTTTAAAATGCCTCTCAAAGGCTCTGCCGTAATTCCAGTACGGGTATTGGGAAAATTTTTCACTTAGAAATAAGGATTATTATTTTTTTGCCAGTGAGAATAGAATAGAATTAATTGTAAAAATTAATAAACTATATTTTAAAAAAAGAGAATAGAATAGAATTCTTTATTCGCCAAGCGTGATTGGACACACAAGGAGTTTGTCTTGGTGCAAATGCTCTCAGTGCACATAAAAGAAAAGAGACATTCGTCAAGAGCCAAGAATCATCAGGTACAACACTTAATAATAGTCATAGGGTACAATAAGCAATCAAATCATACTAGGAAACAGTCAATATAAATCATAAGGATACAAGCGACAAAGTTACAGTCCTACAGTCACAAGTGGGAGGGGGTGGGTGACAAGGAGTGATGAGAAGGTTAATAGTAATAGTAGTGCAGACTTTGTAAATGGTTGGACAGTGTTGAGGGAAATATTTGTTTAGCAGAGTGATGGCTTTTGGGAAAAAACCTGTCCTTGTGTCTAGTTGTTCTGGTGTGCAGGGCTCTATAACGTCGTTTGAGGGAAGGAGTTGAAACAGTTTATGTCCGGGATGTGAGGGGTCTGTAAATATTTTCACAACCCTCTTTTTGACTCGTGCAGTATGGAATAGCTTGCCTCCTGGGCTTGTGGGTGCTCCATCACTGGAGGGTTTCAAAAATAGGTCGGACAACCATTTAGCTAGGATAGTATAAGGCTCATGCCTTGAGAGGGGAGGGTTGGACAAGAACAGGGGTCCCCAACGCCCCCAACCCCCCGGCCCACTACTGGGCCTTGAGCCATTTGGAACCAGGCCGCGGAAGTGGATGGTAAGACAGCACAAGCACATCCCCAGTTGTGTGAGCAGTGGACAAACACATATGCATGCTCTATTTGCGTGAGTGACAGGCGCTCACAGCTCGTGCGGAACCAGCCCCACTCCCCACTGGGGGAACTCTGGAGTAGAAGATGTCCAAGGTCCCTTCCATCCCTATGATACTATGAGTCTATAAGTGTGTGTGTGTGTGAGAGAGAGAGAGAGAGACAGAGACAGAGAGAGAAGAGAGACAGAGAGGGGAGACAGAGAGACAGAGCGAGAGGAGACAGAGAAAGTCAAGAGAGACAGAGAGAGAAGAGAGAGAAAGAGAAAGAGAGACGGCTGGGGCGGAGAGGGGAACTGGGATGTGCAAGAAGCGGGCCAGCACACACACAGCCCTTGTGCAAGTGGTGGGCTGGCACGCACGTGCATGAGTGCCTCCTGGCCCACCACCTGCCGGCCCGTCACTCATACATGTTGAGTTGCGCATGCACACATGGTCTGGCCAGCCACTCGCATAGTTCGAATAAGACACGCCCCGGGGGTTGGGACCCCTGTAGTACCCAGTAAACCAGTAACCAGAAAAGACCAAGCCTCCACTCTCTTCTAGCACTGATGATGTTACCTAGTTTGGGTAATAAAACCCCTACAAGAAAAATAACCAAGCTCAGAGGGTACCAAGGACCTCTCAGTAACCTGCAAAATTTTGCTGTTATTTTAAATTCCCCGGGTCTCCATGTAGGCCAAAAAAGCGGTTATGCCTCTGCATACGAGTGAAAGTGATTTGTATGGCTATTTTCTGGGGCTAAGACTGTGTGAGTGATCCATCCTAAGTGGAACCTGAGAACACCTGTAACACCTGAAGGGGGGCCTGGGAAGCCTCCTAGCCAGAGGTGGTGTTCGGCAGGTTCTGACCGGTTCTGGAGAACCAGTAGTGGAAATCTTGAGTAGTTCGGAGAACTGGCCAATCCCACCTCTGACTGGCCCCACCAACCCCATCTCTTCTCTGCCTCCCATTGAGCCCCAGCTGATTGGCTGGGTCTTCTTTGGTTGCCCTGCACAGGAGAACAGAGCTGGAAAGCAGGTTAGTGGGGTGGGGAGGGAATGGGGATTTTGCAGTATCCTTCCCTTGCCACGCCCACCAAGCCACACCCACAGAATTGGTAGTAAAAATATTTGAATCCCACCACTGGAGGGAGGGAAGGAGGGAGGGAGGATGATGGGAGGGAGGGAGGGAGGGAGGGAGGGAGGAAGGAAGGAAGGAAGGAAGAAAGGAAGGAAGGAAGGAAGGAGGGAAGAAAGCAGAGGTGGGATTCAGCAGGTTCTGACAGGTTCGAGAGAATCGGTAGCAGAAAATTTGAGTAGTTGGGAGAACCAGCAAATCCCACTGCTGACTGGCCCCGCCAACCTCATCTAAGCTCCACCTCCCATTGAGTCCCAGCTGATTGGCTGGGTCTCCTTTGGTTGCCCTGCACAGGAGAACGGAGCTGGAAAGCAGGTTAGTGGGGTTGGGAGGGAATGGGGATTTTACAGTATCCTTCCCCTGCCACGCCCACCAAGCCACACCACACCGACCAAGCCACACCCACAGAACCGGTAGTAAAACATTTTGAATCCCACCACTGCTCCTAGCCATACTCACACTTCTGCCGTTCTGCCAGTGGCCCCCTGCAGCAAGCCGAGAGCCCGCACGAGATTTCCTTGAAGTCTATGTGATTGTCGCGGTTTTCATCAAAGGCGTTAAACAGGCCTGCAAAGGGTCCCAAAAGCCGTTATAAGTAGCGACCAATTTGCCAGTCAAATCATATGGTTTCATTAGCTGAGATAGCAATAGCACTTAGACTTCTATACTGCTTCACAGTGCTTTATAGCCCCCTCTAAGTGGTTTACAGAGTCAGCAAATGGCCCCCGACAATCTGGGTCCACATTTTACCAACCTCGGAAGGACAGAAGGCTGAATTAACCTTGAGCCGGTCAGGATCGAACTCCTGGCAGTGAGCAGTGAGTTAGCCTGCAATACTGCATTCTAACCACTGTTAAGATATTAGTGATATGATAATCATTTCAATCTTGAACTAATTGCTTAACATTAAAACAAACCTATAACTGTATATTTGATGTTGTAAGTCCCCCAGAATCTTTTGGATGGCCATAATAACATCATCCAAAAATAGCAATAGCCCTTAGACTTATATACCGCTTCAGACTGCTTTACAGCCTTCTCTAGGCAGTTTACAGAGTCAGCACAATGCCCCCAAAATCTGGGTCCTCGTTTTACCGATCTCAAAAGGATTGAAGGCTGAGTCAACCTTGAGACAGTCAAGATTGAACTGCTGGCAGTGGGCAGTGCAATACTGCCTTCTAACCACTGCACCCCCACGGGATGAGATCCAGGTAGTCTTCAGCTTACATTTGTTTAGCAACCGTTTCAAATTACAATGGCTGTAAAAAAAAGTGACTTTTATGACTTGGTCTTTGTACTTATGACCATCACTGCATCCCCACAGGCATGGGATCAAAATTCAGGCGCTCGGCAACTCTATGTACTCAGGATGGTTGCAACATCCTGGAGTCAGGTCATCACCATTTGCAACCTTCCCAGCTGACTTCTGGCAAGCAAAGTCAGAAGGACTTTGGAGGAAGCCGGATTCGCTTAACAACTATGTCATTCACTTAACAACTGCAGTGATTCACTTAACCACCTGGCCAAGAAAGGTTGTAAAATTGGGTGTGGTTCACTGAACAGCCGCCGTGCTTAGCAATGGAAGTTCTGGTCCCAATTGTGGTCCTAAGGCGAGAACTCCCTGTACTGAGTAGCCTACACACGCTACTCATGTGCACCCGAAGATGGAAATCTCCAGCCAGTCACCTATTCCAGGGGATCATGGTTTAATATACTGGGCTTTTTTTTTCCCCTGTTCATTTCTTAGTCTAGTATTTGACCGGCATCTTACAAAAGGAGAAACGCAGGTGCCATATGCTCAGCCTTAACTGTTTCTCCATCATTTTTATTGATTTATTTTAATCATTACAATTACCGAGTTTCTGATTGAATAATTTACAAAATAGGGCTCCTCCTGAGATTCTTTCCAGAGGGCAGCTGGTAAAAAATGACTCTCTAGTCTAGAAGGAGAGCAGGAATCCAGATGGAGCCAGCTATCCCAACTGCTCCTTGCTGGTTTTCCTTTCTCTTTCCCACCGTGCATTCATGTGTCAATTTTGTTTCCATGTTTTTACTTCCATCATCCCAACTTTGGAACGCTTAGAAAGAAGAAGGATGTCAGGCCTAGGCCAGACCAGAAAACCAACTCCACAGGAAAACTTCAACTATGCTTTACTGAGGTTGGTTATGATTGAATTTTACCAGTCTGATGGTAATTGTTGTGGCCTGCCAGCACCCAGCGGAGCTGGCTGCAGACTTAGACAGTAAGGAGGTTGTGGGGGGAACATGGGCCAGTCCTGGAGTCTGGGGAAGGCTCTGACGAGTGCTCTGCATCGGAGGCAGACATAGGGCCAGGGCCGCCTGACAGTTATCAGCTGCCTTCAGAGTCGGAGATCTGTGGGGCAGAAGAACAGCTGGAGCCTGTTCCCAGTTTGCACATGCACAGAGCTGCCAGGAGAAGGGAACAGTTAAGGAACAAGGATAGACTCTGGAGTAAAGGCTCAGATGGATGGTAAATGGCCCCTCCCATAGGGCAGGGGTCTCCAACCTTGGCAACTTTAAGACTTGTGGACTTCAACTCCCAGAGTTCTTCAGCCAGCTTTGCTGGCTGAGGAATCCTGGGAGTTGAAGTCCATGTCTTAAAAGTTGCCAAGGTTGAAGACCCCTGCCATAGGGAATAAAGAGGAGCGAAAGGAGAGTGGTGTTTGCAGGAGACGATTTGTTCAACTCATTAGAGTGAAGACCTGTTCCTGACTTCTTACCAAGTAATTGCTGCTACAGTGTGGCGTTTGGAAGATATCGGCCTGGCTGCTCTCCAAGCCTTGATAAAGCTCTGTAGTTGTGAAATCTCATGAAAGATTGCATGGACTTTGCTGGAGAGGAATTCCCTCTAACCTAAATAAAAGGGGTTTTATCGGACGAGGAGTCTGCTTCGTGATCTTGGTCAGAACAGTAACGTCCCTTCTTTCCTTCATATACAGCAGGGTTCTCCAATCTTTCCGGGTTGATGGACCAGCGCAGGGAGGAAAGGGGGGAAGAGGGGATGGTTTTGTGTGAGGGGCAGGCATGGTCTGGTTGCGAATAGCCCACGGCCTGGTAGTGGGCCATGGCCTACAGGTTGTGGACCCCTGAGATACAAGCAATCCTTGACCTACAGTTCATTTAATGACCATTCAAAGTTACCATACTTAAAGAACGGTCGTTCCTTTCTGTCTAGTTCAGGGGTTCCCAAACTTGACAATGGGCTGGGGAATTCTGGAAGTTGAAGTCCACAAGTCTTGAAGTTGGCCAGTTTGGAGACCCCTGGTCTTGGTGACAATTAACAATTCTTGTCTATTTCTGCTGTGGTTGCCTCCCTTTTCCACAACAAGGGGGAATGGAACAGTGTTCAATTTGGTCGTCTCCAGATGGCTTATAACTACAATTCCCAGAATTCAAAGCAGGCAAATCTAGAAGGGATTACAGGCTCAAGATTTGCCTCCTCTTAAGCACTTATCTTTTCATGGCTTCCTTTTCTATGGGGCAAACTGTGTCCCCTCTCCTTTAGGCCTTTATGAAGTGGGTCGCCTACATAAACCTTTAATGCAGCTGTTACAAGTTCAGTATTTGTTGCCTGTACAGAGATAAATTCTAAGATGGGACCAACCTCTAGGAGCATGCGTATCGGGACTGCTGTGAAACCTACACAATTTCGCTAAATAGAGGTAGTCCTTGACTTACAACAGTTCATGTAGTGACCATTCAAAGTTACAACGGATCTGAAAAAAATGACTTATACCACCGTTTTCACACTTGCAGCATCCTTGGGGGGTCAAATGATCAAAATCCAGACACTTGGCAACTGATTCATATTTATGACGGTTGCAGAGTCCTGGAATCGTGTGATCTCCTTTTGCAACCTTCTGACAACTGGGAAGCCGGATTCACTTAACAACCGGGTTACTAACAACAACTGCCGGGATTCCCTTAACAACTGTGGTGAGAAAGGTCGTAAAACGGGGGCAAAACAGAATTAACATCTCTCTCACTCCGCAACAGGAATTTTGGGCTCCGCAGTGGCCGTACGTCGAGGGATCCCTGCATCGGAAGAAAACCAAGAAGAGCTAGATTGTCAGCGAAATGTACATACCTTCGCTCAGGGATGGATGGATCGGAGGGGAAACCAGGAGGCCAAACGTTTCCAGATCAAAACGGCCTGTTCTTGATTGAGCTTTCAGGAGCCAATAGCGTTTCTCGAGGTCGATGATATCTGATTCTTCCACTGCATAAAAGCCAAGGCGATCAAAGTCAGACATAAATGAAAGCAGCGCCTTTAAAAGGGTGTTGTGTCAGCCACTTTTACGCAGGCAACAAAGCTCAACGGAGAATTCCAGGAATGCGGATCGCTTTTGTGGAACAAAAAACCCTTATTGGGAGGTTCGTAGTGAAGAGCAACCAGATTTACTTAGCACCATTCAATATATTGAACAGGAAAAGAGGCCAGGGCAGTGACGGTGAACCTAGGATGCCCAGGTCAAAGGTGACGCACAACAACGTTTTTGTGCCGGTGTTCACTAATGTCTGACAGCAGCTATTCTCGAAAACACAACCCATTCTCATGTGATTTGGGGGGGGGGGGCTCTGCAAGAAGTGTTCTTTGGATGTCCCACAAGAAGGACGTGTTCTCGTGCAGCCTTGGAAAATTACACAAGAACAGGGTGGACTTTTGGTGGTTTTCAAAGACGACAGGGGCTGTGAAAGAGCATTCTCCCACAACTTCTGGAAGAAGCCATTCCACTGATTAATTGTTCTTGCTGCCAGGAAATTTCGCCTTAGTTCTAGGTTGGATCTCTCTTCGATATGTTTGCATTCGTTACTCCTTGTCCTGCCCTCAGGTGAGAGGTGGGATCAGTTCTGGAGAACCAGCAGCGGAAATTTTGAGTAGTTCAGAGAACCAGCAAATACTACTTCTGACTGGAGATTTTACAGTATCCTTCCCCTGCGACGCCCACCAAGCCACGTCCACAGAACCGGTAGTAAAAAAAAAATGAATCCCAACATTGCCTCAGGTGCTTTGGAGAATAAATCGACCCCCTCTTCTCTGTGACAGCCCCTTAAATAGCAATAGCAATAGCACTTAGACTTGTATACCGCTTCACAGGGGTTTTACAGCCCTCTAAGCAGTTTACAGAGTCAGCATATTGCTCCCCAACAATCTGGGTCCTCGACTATTTATCAGAATGGTCAAACAAATGGCAACTTCAAATCTCAACAAATAAATGCTCTGTCTTACATATTGGCAAAAAAAAATCAGAAAATAAAATACAGGCTGAATAGTCAAGACCTTGTTGATGATCCAAACTCTGTCAAGGATCTTGGAATACTCATCTCTAATGATCTAAGTGCTAGAGCCCACTGTAACTACATAGCCAAAAAGGCATTAAGAGTTGTTAACCTAATCTTACGTAGCTTTTTCTCTGGTAATATTACACTAATAACTAGAGCATACAAAACATTTGCTAGACCAATACTCGAATACAGCTCATCAGTCTGGAACCCACATTACGTATCTGATATTAACACAGTTGAGAAAGTCCAGAAATATTTCACAAGAAGAGTTCTCCACTCCTCTACTCGTTGCAGAATACCTTATGCCACCAGACTTGAAATTCTAGACCTAGAAAACCTAGAACTATGCTGCCTTTGGTCCGATCTAAGTATAGTATATAAAATCATACATTGCAATGTCCTACCTGTCAATGAATACTTTAGTTTCAACCATAACACTACAAGAGCAAACAATAGATACAAACTTAAGGTTAATTGCACCAAACTTGATTGCAGGAAATATGACTTCAGCAACAAAGTGGTCAATGTCCGGAATACTCTACCTGACTCTGTGGTTTCTTCCCCAAACCCCAAAAACTTTAACCTTAGACTGTCTACTATCGACCCCACCCCTTTACTAAGAGGTCTGTAGGGGGCGTGCATAAGCGCAACAATGTGCCTACCGTCCCCGTCCTATTGTTTCTTTTATATATATTTTTTATTTTTCTTATATGTATCCATGTATTCATAACTATGTTTTTACTTATACCTATTATCTTGTAGGTAATTGACAAATAAAAATAAAATAAAAATAAAATAAAATTTAACCGACATCGGAAGGATGGCAGGCTGAGTCAACCTTGAACCACTCAGAATTGAACTCCTGGAGTGAGCAGTGAGTTAGCCCCGCATTACTGCATTCTAACCACTGTGCCACCATGGCTCTAAATATTGGAAGACTGCTATCATGTCACCCCTAGTCCTTCATTAGATTTGGCCAGGAGTTGGTAACCTTACACAATCAAAGAGCCATTTGGACCCGCTTTCCACAGTAAAGGAAACACCGGGAGCCACCAAACCATTTTGACTCTGCCGACCTACCATTAAATGTTCTGTTTTCTTCTGAAACTTTTCTTGGATTTATCCATAGTTGGCCTACCGGGGATTGAAAAGCTGAATAAATTGTGGTTGTGACGCATATTTTGAGCGACAGGGAGCTGTAGCAGAGGGATGAAAGAGCCACATGTGGCTCCAGAGCCGTGGGTTGCCAACTCTTGGACTAGACTTACCCAGTTCCTGCAACCGTCTCTTTTGTTCCGGGGGGGGGGAGACACACCAGCAGAGTCATTAGGCATTTTCTGAACATTTGAAACGTGGAGTCTAGAACATTTTCCACCACTGACCTAAACCATAAAAACCATCAAATTGGAAGGCATCACTGAAGCTCTCAGATCTAATCCCCTTACTCAGTGAAGGAATCCAGGTTAAAGCACTCATGATAAATAAATGGCCATCCAGCCGGTGTTTGGAAACATCCAGTGAAGGGACGCCCCAACCGTCTGGGTCAATTGGTTCTGCCGTCAGAGGCATGTAAGTCAGAGGACTTTCAGAGGCATCTGTATATACTTGCAGTATGTCAAGTCACCAAACAAGGCAATTCAGGGAAAAAATATGTATGCACATGAATAATGACTGCTCTATTGATTCAAAGCACTGTGCATTTATCATTCAAAGGATCGTAAAAAAGGGCTGTAAATATTTACTTTCAGAAGGGTATCCAAGGGAATACTGTTCAGAATACAGAATATGGAATAAGACAGTTGGAAGGGACTTTGGAGGTCTTCTAGTCCAACCCCCTGTTTGAGCAGAGACCGTACACCATTCTGGACAAATGGCTGTCCAGTCTCTTCTTAAAAACCTCCAGTGATGGAGCACCCACAAGTTCTGGAGGAAAGATGTTCCATCCATTGATTATTCCCACTGTCAGGAAATTTCCCCTTCGTTCTAGGTTGGATGATAAACTTCCGTCCGTTACTTCTTGCCCTGCGCTCAGGTGCTTTGGAGAATACGTCGATCTCTTCTTTTCTCTGCAGTCCCTCGAGTACCGGAAGACGGCTATCATGTCACCCCTAGTCCTTCCCTTCACCCCCATTCCTTCTTCTATAGGAGAACTATACGCCTCCTCTTCCTTTTTCAAACCCTGAAGAACTTGCTATGGGAAGAGGAAAATCTCTTGCACAAGGAATGGGGAGAAATGGATTTGGAACTCATTTTATCTCGTTCAACCACTAATTCGTGTGCTAACATAATACAATTTTCACACCACTTCAATTCTGTACTGCATCAGTGTGCTTAGAATAGCAGGCCTATGGAGATTCTCAGTCTCATCCAGGTCATGGTTGTCCCAAAGGTGCTTTTTTTTCAAGAGGCAACTGGAACTTTCTGGGTTTTTTTTTTTTTTTGAAGATGTTTTGCTTCTTATCCAAGAAGCTTCTTCTGCTCTGACTGGATGGTGGGGAATAGAAGGATTTATATTCCTTGCAGGCAGATGGTCATTTGCATAACAACCTGCTAAAAGGATGCAAATGACCAGCTGTCTGCAAGGAGTATAAATCCTTCTATTCCCCACCATCCAGTCAGAGCAGAAGAAGCTTCTTGGATGAGAAGCGAAACATCTTCAAAGCAAAACTGCAAAAAGTCCAGTTGCCTCTTTGAAAAAAGCACCTTTGGGACTTAGAATACCATGTTTCTTCCCAGAACTATAGAAATTGTGTCTCTATTTAGTTGTATTTCATTGGGTGTTGTTTTTTTTTAAAGGCCCGATAGTGTCAGAAAATAGCTCTTATCATTTCTGCGGATGCAGTCAAATAAAGCATCATTTAACATACATTAGATACACAGGTGTGACCTTGAGAAATTAGGTAGCACAGATTGCACTGTGGCCTTCAGCATCTGGTACACCATTCCAAAAATGATGCATTTGCCTTCAAGGAACTGCCAACAAGTGCCACCTGTGCATACAAAAGGCATTTTTGGCTGTACAGCTTTTGTGCGCATAGAATTAAAGGAGCATCTTTTTAACTGGAGCTAAAATTTTCAGAGGCTTAAAAATCCAATGTTATAGCAATTCTTGATAATACAGAGAGCCCCTGACTTACAACCATTTGTTTAGTGACTGTTTAAAGTTGAAACGGCATTGGAAAAAAGTTACTTATGACAGTTCACGCTTATAAACATTACAGCATCCCCCATGGTCACGTGATCAAAATTCAGAGGCTTGGCAACCGGCTCATATTTATGACCGTTGCTAAGAGATCCCCCTTTTGTGACCATCTGATAAGCAAAGTCAAAGGGGGAAGCCCGAATTCACTGAAACAAACCGTGTTACTAACTTAACAACTGCCACGATTCACTTAACAACGGTAGCAGGAAAGGTCGTAAAAGGGGTCAAAATTCATTCAACAACTGTCTCGCTTAGCAACATAAATTTTGGGCTCAGTTGTGGTCATAAGTTGAGGGCTACCTGTATCTCAAACCTGTCCTGTTTTTCCAAACGTTCATAGATAGCAGAAGGTGAGTGAATATGTCTAAACCTGAAAGTGAAGCCAAGAGAGGACACAGCTGGCTAATATTTGGATAGATGACTTCAAGCAAATCTTAGGGATATAAGAATTTGTAAAAAGGATCAAAAGCCGCACCATTTCCACGGGGCTGCCAAGAAAATGTCAAACGAAATGAAGTTACAGGGAATTTCAGCTCTACTTGATAAGACTTGAGCTTTTTATGGGGCTTATAGATTTACTAGAGTGCTTTGGGCAAAATGACTTCCTGAAATATTTAAAATGAAAACAATCACCTTTAAAAAAAAGAAGACAACTATAAACCTCTGTCTTTTGTTATTAAGTAGATGCATAACTGCCCAGTAAAGAACTACCCTAAAATATTTTCTCCCAC